TGTGATAAAATTTAAGCCTAATAAGGATTAAGCTTATTAACGAATATTTTATTAGCAATGATTTAGTTATTAATTCGAGTCGAGACAGTTTCGCTGCACTACATAATAAAACACTAATTTCAAAATAAGAATCTGAAAGTTTTTCTTCAAAGTTACTTGGACCTTTCGTATAATTTATCCAAATCTATGATCGAGCACATAAAACTCTTATAACCTTACATTATAAAGACGTATTATTTTAACACAGACAACAAAATAAAGTTAATATTAAATTCTTTCTCGCTTACCATGTTTGTATTGCTTAAAAGCTCTAATTTTCCTTTGAGTAGTTCTTGTTCATCATATATCTGAATGAAATAAAAAGCAACAACTCTAGTTTTTCAACGCTAAAAGACTTAACTTAAACTACCGGCGACATCGAACGCAGAAAAATGATCATCTCGCCCTGACAAAATGCTTCTCATACACAATAATCGATTAAAACTGTCTTGATATAACACAAATATTTCTTACTTCTTTAACAGAGAGGAATTCGAGTAGTGGAAAGACCAGATGCCGGTCTAAAAAGCAGCCCATTCTCGAAGTCAAGTCGTGTTCCGCCATCTTGATCTAAAACGTGGGAAGATTATACCCAGACTTCCACGGTCATTCGTAAGCAGAGGAGCCCCAAAAGCCCAACTCCTCATTGCCGCAAAACAGCAGACCCAGATTTTAATGTAAGCAACAAACTAATAAAGGTTTAAAAGGTGTGGGGAAAAAACATATATACATATTCGAATTTTATTTATAAACTATAAATAATATTTATAAACCAAGCGCTCCCGCGCACCTAATAGTTTAATTAATTTTTGCACGATATGAATATGAGGACCGCATGGCACTATGATAGATACGATATAGAAATGAAAGAAAGTTATAGTGCTTAGAAGGAGGCAATCCTGGGAGAAAGACCCTTAGGAATAAATTTGGAAGAATTCGAATTCCAGCGAGGTCGGAAATTAATTTTTGCACGGTAGAAATTCATGCATCCATTCGGATGGGTGACAGTTTTACTCAGTTCGTATTTGTTATTTTTTTCCTGCTTTTCTTCTTTTTCTTTTTTAGATTTTTTGTCTTGTTATTTCTAATGCCATTTTGTAATTTAGCGGAATCTTTTGGATCTTAATCTCCGCACTCGACCACTTTGTAGTTACTTTGGAGTATAATACATGTAGAGCGCAAAGGCTAAAACGGTTGACAAAATATAATTTGAAGACTCTCAAATTTTAAATATTGTTTGCAGGAAAAGGATTATTTTATAGTCTAGCATGCCTCATCAACGAGGCAGCTTAAATCAAGCACATTGTTCTC